TTTTTTTGTTTGACATGATTTTTTTTTTGGTTGAATACTACTTTTTTTGTTTGACATGATTTTTTTTTTGATTGAATAATTGTGAAACAAATCTAACTCCATAGCTTTATGCTGCACTCTGTGGTAGGAGACAAGGAGCCTGGTGTTCTGTCAGATCATCATACGCTTAGCACCAACTGACGGCTATGTCTATCAGACAAGTATACACTGTCATTACCATATGATTTTATTTAATTAGTAACAATCATGACATAGATTGTCATTTACTTTGTTGTTAACAGCTGTATGGCATCCTGACTTAGCGGTTAAGTAGGTTAATGAGTTTTACATGGGCGCGTGTCCTGAAGTTTTTAGATGTGCCACAGGTACAAAACACTGGAAGGAAATGGCTTCATTACTTCCTCCTTGTGTAGAATGACCTTATTATTCAATTTAGGTGTGGTGCAGCAGAGGCACATCTAAAAGTTGCAGGAGAGCAGCCCTTGAGGACTGGAGTTTGACACCTGTGAGCTAGACCCTGCTTTAAATACACTTTGAAACCATGATAATGCATGTAAATCTATCTAGTTATTGTTGAAAACAACTTAATGAGATATTTTCGTCATAATTTGTCATGTATGCTGAACTGACAACTCCTCTGATGGTTGGACTTCTTAATGCGCAAGCATACGTAGTCACTGCACCTATGCTATTCTGACAGCGTATGATTATCTGATAGAACAAGCTTGTGTGGTGAGGCGACAGTTGCTAGCTCTTATCCAGCAGAGAGAACAACATAATTAAGTCATGTGACATTTCTAGCTCTTACATGCAGGTTATAGACGTTATGCAAGAAAGTTGAAAACTTTTCATCTTTTGTTGCTGTCGTTGATATTGTATGCCATGTGATGGGTTCAGCCGGAGTTGAAAAAAATTTACACTTTTAGCTCCAAGTGTGTTTAGCCGTTACCAAGAAAACGAGAGGGGAGGGAACAACACGAGGTACAGGAGTGAAACTTTTTGTCATTCAGTCTCTTTGAAGAAAGAGAGATGATGAAAACAAAGAAGCAATTTTATATCCATCATTTTATTAATAAGCTCATTTTTATTTACTGCTGATTGATTTATTGTTTCTTGTGGAAATTCTTCTCACCTGTATGAATTTTCTGGTGGTAATTTAACTGACTAATTCGAGAGAAACTTTTTCCACATGACATGCATGAAAAAGGTTTCTCCCCTGTATGAATTTTCTTGTGTTCATTTAAATTACTAATTCGATAGAAACTTTTTCCGCATGACTGGCATGTAAAAGGTCTCTCCCCTGTATGAATTATCTTGTGGTCATTTAAATGACCAAGTCGAGAGAAACTTTTTCCACATATTGTGCATGAAAAAGGCCTCTCACCTGTATGAATTTTCTTGTGGTAATTTAAAGATCTAAATTGAGGGAAAGTCTTTCCGCATGTTTCACATGAAAAAGGTCTCTCACCAGTGTGGCTTCTGTAATGGTCTTTCAACTTATAATGTTGTGTATAACATCTCCCACAAATGTCACATTTGAAAGATCTTTTCTTTGTGCCAGTATCAGACTGACTCTCTGACACAGAGCAGCTGCTTCCTTCCTGATCTTTGCTCTCATTCACTGCAGAGACATGAAGGGAAAGCTGCTCTGATCTACCCTTTTCTTCATTCATACCATCTTCCTGAAGAGTAGAAGTCTCAATCAAAGCAACAAACTGCTTCTGGACAAGCTGCTCTCCCTCCTGACTGCTGCAGAGGTCCTTCTGGTCCTGTCCAGTTGGTAAATGTTCTGATGGCTGCTGTTCATGTTGAAGCACTGAAGAATCTATCTCCTCCTTTCTTACATACATTAGTGGATATTCTATTTCCTCATGTTTGAACAGTGTAGGTTCTGGTTCCTCCTCTTCTTTTTTAATCCATTTTGTTTCTGGTTCCATCTGTTCCTCTTCAGTCCACTGATGTTCTGCTTCTTTCTGGTCCTGACTGGACCTACTTGCCAGGCTCCAGACTTGTTGGATGGCAGAAGCTTCCTCTTCATTGGAGACACTTGGCTGTTGGAGGTCTGTGGAAAAAAGATGACATCATTAATACAATTTAATTCATGACTATCTCATGGATCAGCCTGGTTTTTCCTGGAGATTCTGGTCTATAGGCATCATGTGGTTAATCTAAAATCAGTTTGTAGATTTTAACTAAAAAGCAGGTGAAGTGTCCTCCACATTAATTTGCTACTATGGCAAAAATGTTAAAAATATTTCAAATACATTATGATTTTAATCAAGAAGTACAGTTTCATACAGATTTTTTATTTACAATTAAATGTTTAATTTTAATGCGTTCATACACTTATAACCTTATGTCTAGCCTCACTTTTTAAAGTTGATCAGACTGTGTAGGAATTTAATTTTGTAAAACATGACATTCTGGGTATCTGGGTTATAAATATGATGAGACAGATACCCATTTCTCTAAGCCGCTATTCAAAAAAGAAAGAGAAGTAATCACTTCATTCACTAAGGCAGATGTGTTGATGTTCAAAAGGAAGTGGGTGAAAGAAAAGATCATAAAGACTGACCTAAAATCGAAACCTATTAATTATTGCTTAGATTTTCATTTAGCTTAGTAACTGAATGTGTGAGAGATGATGCTGGATGGGTTTATCTCAACACCACACAACACATCTCCAGATCTCTGTAAGAGAGCTGCAGCGAAGAGGAACATCCTGGAGTCATCAGGTCTCCATAGCAACCATCAGACACTATATTCATAAAAACTGGATGTTTGGGAGAAATAACACAAAGAAATAATTTCCTCTAAACACTGTTGGAGTCATCTGATCCATTGAACTTGTCTATGTCCCAGACAGCAAATGTGCAGCAAAAGAGATGTTTCATTAAACACATTTGAGAAATATAGATTTGGAGATGTGTGTATGTTTCTACTTTGACACAGTTTGCCATTCCCCTGTAGAACTGGTCTTGGTCCCTGAACTGAAGGGATAACAGTAAACTATTCTTTTTTTACTATAATTAATTGATCCCTTACAATTTATTTTACTTTAACAATTAATTAAAATGCAGATTTTTCACTTTTAGCTTCAACAAATTGATAGGATTAGTTTTTATCTGCTATATCAGGGCTTTGCAACCTGCGGCTCTGTGGCTCACTTATAAGAAAGAAATATTGTCGTTATTTGTTTACTCCCTTTGTTCTGCGTCTCCCCCTCTTCTTCATAATACTCTCCACTGCTCTGATTTACAAAATCACGTATGAGATTACGAATCAAGAATTGTATTCCAGATTTCCAGCACTAATACCACTTAGAGTAATATATGCAGTCAGGCGGCTTGACTCAAACAGGTTTTCTCTTTGTGCTACCACGTTTGTGCTACCACGTTTGTGCTAGCCTCTGTAGCATCCGAGCTAGCAGCTAAATCAGTTCCTGTTTACCAGCAGCTTGAGCTGCTGGTAAACAGCCGCTGACGGATCTCTGTCTGCTGTGAAATCATCAGCACCTTTATCCAGACCTACCAGAACTTTGTCTCTGCAGCTCCGAACCGACTCTGTGTAGCTTAATTTGTGGTTTCCAGTCGATCCCCATCATCCTGCGCTGAGCATCGAGCTCTTCCTCGTAGCAAATGATGGTTTTTTCAACCTCTGTGAAGATTTCTTGAGCAGCAGCAGTTAGTCGCTCTCTGATAAACTCTCTGAGATGCTGAACTGAAGACATGGTTGCTGAAATATTAGCTCAAGTGGAACAATGCATCAGTTTCCTATCGCATTCAAGCTTCTTCTTCGATTTATTTTGTTTTGGGCGGTTGGCAGACAAGGAAATTGGTGCAATACCGCCCCCTACTGAACTGGATAGTGGAAAGCCGAAAAACAGTTTAAAGCAGTGCCACATAACTTTTCCCTTCTCTGATGGGGGGCCGGAGATTGTTGACGGGGGGCGGGGGGGTGCGTTTCTCGATTGATTTTTACCCAGAAAGCACATGGGCAAAACCCATGAAAAATTAACCCCTGTTGGTCAAGGGCCTTTGGGATTATCAAATCTTTTCCTTCCTGTATGCAAGCTAATATTTTGGCACTGAAATTTAACATGTGTGCAGATAAAGTGAAAGTGTTACATTTTGGAACTTATTGCACCATGTTTTGTTTGGCTCACCTGTGGTGTAACTACAGTAAACGGTCCTTGGGACTGACTAGTAAATATTCCATTGAGGGAATGTAACTTTAACATATTAATTTCTCATATGTTAACATAAAGGCTCGTTTTGAAGTATAAGCTGCTACTGTGCTCCTGCATTGCTTCGAAGAATTCAACCTTGAATGCGGCGTTCATAACAGACACGTGTTCATCTGCTCTACCGCTAGCAAACAACCGTACTGATAAATAACATAAAAGTCAAGCAGTTCCCTAAAAGTCCAACAGATGGCAGCAATGCGCCATGCAAAACAAAACACCCACAGTTTACAGGACACACTTCCTGCTAAAGAGCCCCCTGGTGGTTGAAGAAAAATCCACATATAAACCGGAAAATACAATAAATGAAAAAAACATCTGAGCGCTCTCTGGTATTGTTCAGGGGGCCGGACCAAATGTGGAGGCGGACCGGATCCGGCCCGCGAGCCGTAGTTTGGGGACCACTGGTTTAAAGAAAACTTAGTATCAATTCATAAATCTTTATTACGAGACAAAAAGTATTCCATCCAATTTAGAAAAACAAAAACAAACAAAAATCATCAAGTAAAAGAAAACATCACAAGGCAGGTAAGCAATGACTCCCAATAGTTAAAGTTAGAAATATCTAATATCACCATATATTGCAGTTGTCAGAGCTTTTATTGTGAAGTAGTTTTATACATCCAGTCTGTACATACATCTTTACATGAAATTCCTCAGCAAAACATGAAAAGCTGGTATGCTACTCATGACAAACATTTGACTTGCAGATGTTCAACGTGGAAATATGAGGATTCTTAAAGCGTCCTGATTGGCTACTTGCAGTTTCTTCATTACAGTTTTACTGTAGTTACACCACAGGTGAGCCAAACAAAACATGGTGCAATAAGTTCCAAAATGTAACACTTTCACTTTATCTGCACACATGTTAAATTTCAGTGCCAAAATATTAGCTTGCATACAGGAAGGAAAAGATTTGATAATCCCAAAGGCCCTTGACCAACAGGGGTTAATTTTTATATAAATAGAAAAAAATAGGGCCTCTGTCAATAATATAGTTTTTTGTTTTACTTGTTTTTAGCAGTAAAAATTAAGTTATCATTCCCAGATAAAAAAAGCAAAGATCCATATTTACTGAACACCCTGTGGATCTGCATTAAATGGTTTGTTCCTGCTTAGTGAATTTGAAGGTTACAGTGTTCAGCAGCAGACCAAGACTACAACGACTGACAGCTGAACTATGCAGTCAAAAAAATAACGTTCAGGTTTTCATAAAAGAAAAAAGGAAAAATGACAAAAGGGTGTCTCTTTATAAGCCAGTTTGTCTCTAAGAGACATGGATAGACTGTAGTTTGAATCCAACGCGCTCCCAGACTGCTCGCTCCTCCTCAGCAGGCTTTATACTACTCTCTGTGGTAGGAGAGAAGGAGCCCGGCAGGTAACTGAAGTAATGTTCACACGGTGACATGAGACAGCGCTTCTCTCGTTTATGAACATTGTGTGTTGAGGTGACGGTCACTAGATCTCATTCAGCCGAGTGAACAACATAATTTGTGCATGTGAGATTTCTAGGTCATACATACGGGGGATATAGACGTTACGCAAGAAAACTGAAAACTTTTCATCTTTTGTTGCCGTCGTCGCTATCGATTATCGTGTGTTGGGTTCAACCAGAGTGGAAGGAAAAAGACGCTTTTAGCTCCCTGTGTGTTTAGCAGTTACCAAGAAAATGAGAGGGGAGGGAATAATACGAGGCACATGTTTATCGTGACAACCCTTAAACGTATGACTTATCTTGTGACGATTTAAATGACAAATTTGAGAGAAATTCTTTCCGCATGACTGGCATGAAAAAGGCTTCTCACCTGTATGAATTTTGTTGTGACGATCTAAGTGACTAAATCGAGAGAAATTCTTACCACATGACTGGCATGAAAAAGGCTTCTCACCCGTATGAATTTTCTTGTGACGATTTAAATTACTTATTTGAGAAAAACTTTTTCCGCATGATTGGCATGAAAAAGGCTTCTCACCCGTATGAATTCTCTTGTGACGATTTAAATCTCTCATTCGAGAGAAACCTTTCCCGCATATTTCACATGAAAAAAGTCTCTCAACAGTGTGGGTTCTGTAATGGTTTTTCAACTTATAATGTTGGGTGTAACGTCTCCCACAAATGTCACATTTGAAAGATCTTTTCTTTGTGCCAGTATCAGACTGACTCTCTGACACAGAGCAGCTGCTTCCTTCCTGATCTTTGCTCTCAACCACTGCAGAGACATGAAGGGAAAGCTGCTCTGTTCTTGTCTCTTCTTCACTCATATCATCTTCCTGAAGAGTAGAAGTCTCAATCAAAGCAACAAACTGCTTCTGGACAAGCTGCTCTCCCTCCTGACTGCTGCAGAGGTCCTTCTGGTCCTGTCCAGTTGGTAAATGTTCTGGTGGCTGCTGTTCATGTTGAAGCACTGAAGAATCTAGCTCCTCTTTTTTTACATACATTAGTGGATATTCCATTTCCTCATGTTTGAGCAGTGTAGGTTCTGGTTCCTCCTCTTCTTCTTTTTTAATCCATTTTGTTCCTGGTTCCATCTGTTCCTCTTCAGTCCACTGATGTTCTGCTTCTTTCTGGTCCTGACTGGACCTACTTGCCAGGCTCCAGACTTGTTGGATGGCAGAATCTTCCTCCTCATTTGAGACACTTGGCTGTTGGAGGTCTGTGGAAAAAAAGGATGACGTCATTAATATAATTTAATTGATCACTATCTTAGGCATCAGCCTGGTTTTTCCTGGAGATTCAGGTCTATAGGCATCATGTGGTTAATCTAAAATTAGTTTGTAGTTTTTAACTAAAAAGCAGGAGAAGTGTCCTCCACATTAATTTGCTACTATGGCAAAAATGTTAAAAAGATTTCAAATACATTCAGACTTTAATCTAGAAGTACAGTTTCATACAGATTTTTTATTTACAATTAAATTTTTAATTTTAGGGCATTCATACAGTGAAGAACTCAAAATACATTTAGACAATGTGTTGTTAATCTCACTTATAACCTTATGTCTAGCCTCACTTTTGAGGCAAGGTGAGAATTCATCTGTTAAACTGACTGAAAATGAATACATGAACTAAAAACTGAAGTATATACATTTTTCATAAACGTATTTGTGAGCCTGCCTCTTTGTTATTAAATTGAATATAATTTCAGATCTTTGTCTAACTTTTCTTCAGGTTAATTTAGAACGTGAGTTATTATTATTACAGGTTAGTTTTCTAAACTACAGAATAGTAACTGTTGGGGAAGCTCAAAAATGACAAATTGGATTGATATTGATATCTGACACCAGTGTTATGCCAGATTTACAAATATTTTATTTTATAAATTTTTTTTATCCATTACTAGATTAATCGTAAGAATAATTACTCGATTACTAACATGTTTATTTACAGCCCTAATTGAAACCTATTTATTATTGCTCTGACTGTTCATGTAGGTTAGTAACTGGAATTGTGAGAGATGATGCTGGATGAGTTTATCTCAGCACCACACACTGAGGAGGATGGTGGTGCAGGTCTACACATCTCCAGGTCTCTGTATGAGAACTGCAGCAAAGAGGAAAATCCTGGAGTCACCTGGGTGACGTAAAGCGGCGTGCGCACAAAAAATGTGCAGCGCCATATTTTACGCACAAGTCAGCATGTATAAAATTAACTTTGCGTCAAAGTTTACGTAAATATACGCACACTTTTTCGCTGGTGTGAAAATGTGCGGCAGTCACGCAAACCTTTTCTGTGGACATCAAACTACAAAGCATCAAAACTCCCCTAAATACACTGAAATCTGACTACATTCTGTGTTATTTAGACCAAGAAGCATCAAACCCGATGTTTTTCATGATTTTAATATTTTATTGCTTAAACGTAAACGATGAAACTGAACCGCATTTAATAAGCTAACACGCACATAAAAATGACAGGATGTGAAAATCTCACTCAAATGTAAATAGTAATTTTCCTCAGTTTTTGTCTCATAAAGATGTAACTCATTGGTTTGTGCATCAAAGCACATGGAATGTAATTTTATTACACGGGGTAATTTTATTCCCACTAAAAAAAGAAAACAGGGTTGGATCACCAGATTAACTCAAATCTGCTGATTACAAATAATCAACAGGTTTGATTATTTTTAAGGTGATCAAGGTGTGTAGACAGTCCCACGTATATAAGTAGCTGCGCAAAGGTGAGCTGCGTAATTGTGGAGCTTTGTCTTTAAAATGTGTTTTTATTTTTGTGAGGTGACATTATGTGCCCTCAAAGCACCATTTAAATAAAATATATAATTATTATTATAAATACTAATATTGCTACAAACAAGTATTACTGGTTACTTCCATGGTTACTGGTTACATGGTTATTTATACTAATTTACATATGTATTTGTGGGAGGCGACAGGCAGACCAGCAGCTGCGCTCTATTTCCCGCAAATTAAGATTTATAAAGGAAAGTTGCGCAGCCACTGCTTTATACATCCGATTTTTTTGTGCGCCGCACTTTTCTAAATTTTTCCATACGCCAAGTTTTAGTGTGAAAACTGCGCAGTCTTTTATGCATGAGGCCCCTGGTCTCCATAACAATTAGAGTAATGTATTTAGTAGAGGTGTGCCGATCGATCGGCCACCGATCATAATCGGCTGATTTCCATGAAAAAGTGTATGATCGGTGATCGCCGATCACGGTCTCTTGTTGCCGATCACACAAACTGATTATCACCTGCATCTCATGTCCAGCCTGCCTGTGCAGCTGGTCTCCTCTTTCCTTCACTCTGCGTAAACGCGCAGCAACAAATCCTAAGCGATGAGGAACTATAACCACTGAGTGAACGGGGAAGTTTGCGTGTTGCGGCGGAAACTTGAAGCAGGTCAAAATGCATCAACATGACGAATCTAATATGGCATAAAGACATATATGGAGGATCAGATAGCAGGTAAAGCAGCGCACAGCTACAAACACTCACCCGGATTAGCATGACGGTCAGAAAGCTAAA